AGCCCAGCGTTTGGCGAAGATTATTACCAAATCCTGCTACTTCGATGGATTCCTTGACCAGGCGATCCTCAAGGATTCCTGCCTTGTGAAAGGTGGACAGAGGCATGACATTGATGGATGATCCATTATCCAGAAATGCACGCTTGAATTCTACTCCCTTAATTGTAGCGAGAACATATAGTGGTTGATTTTGGGTGACTTGGCTCTGTTTATCGGCATCAGTGAAAGTGATTACCTTCTTATTACCTAGTGGCGTGGATTTAGCTGTAGCAGCCATTAAACAAAGATTAGCCTCTGATGAAGAAGGTTCTCTGACCCAAGTTTGTCTCTTCAAGTTCATTGTAACAAAAGATGGTTACTGCTCAGTGATTAGGGTATGGGAATTGGCGAACATCCTTGGGAGGAGTAACCTCTAGATCTCCCGCAGCCATCCGTCGCTAGAAAAGGCAGCGTAACCCCTAGCAATTGAGAATAGGATGAGTGGTACTTTGATGATAGGCGCAAAAATCAGTACTGGCCTTATCTGCTGGGGTGGGCTATCGGCGAGGAGTAGGTAAGACGATGACACCATCTTTAACTCACTGCGCGAGTGTATTCTTAACCTCTTCGAGACGGATCAGAAATGGCGGTAGCTCCTCACCAGTAAGCTTAGACTCTGAAGCTTTCTCGAATCGCTTTCGAGGGCGGTCATCAATAGCCGTTGTGGGCGCAGGTCGTCGATTGGATACCTTTGGATCTTTAAATTTTGGGGTATCGTACTTGGGAATTGTATACTTTGCAGCGACAGGCTTAAGGTTTTTGAGATTTCTAGCTGCAATCTTAAGTTCGCCAAAACTAGCGATTTTGAGATTGACTAGATGGAGCTTATAGATCTGTAGCATGCCTTGGATATGGATATCAACCAAATCTATCTCATTGTTGCTTTTAAAGCATTCACCTGCTCGATCTCCGAAGTGATTAATGAAGGTGAGGATATCCTCGGTCTCTTCTTGGGTTTCTTTGGTGAGAAAAACAGTAGTAACACATTCTTCGGCTTGAAAGAATTTGGTAAGGAATCGATCCTTCAATTGTTCCTATGTGCTGACTGAGTCAGGCTCAAGGTTAAAATGCCAACGGTATGCGCGATCTGTTAAAGATTTAGAGAATTCCCGTAGTCGAACCACATGGTTATCGCCAAAGTGTCCCAATGCTTCGACGAAATACATGACATGCTCCCTGGGATCGCTCATTTTGCCGTTGAACTGCGAAAACTTTGGAACTAGATACCCTTGTGGGTAAGGAGTCTGTGCGATAGCTCGAGGGTAGGGAGGTTCACTACCAAAATCTAAAGCCCTAGAGGCCGGGGTACCTTTTTTGAAAAGATCACGAACCTCGGAATGCGTAAAGACCTCTTTTGGGGCAGAATAAGAATGGGAAGGGAAGGTGAATGGTGTTTTAGGGTTGGCTTGTGCATAAGTTGGAGGGGAGTAAAACACAGATTCCTTTCCATTAGAAGGGAGAGTGTGAGGAGCCCCAGGGGTCGTCTGTGGCGTGGGGTTGTAAGGTTCTGGAATAAGTTATAAAAGTGACTCTGTGTTGTCGCCTGGACCTACTGGTGGTTGTGTTATGACTTGCTAAGCATTTTATGGAGGGAGATGCGTGTCAGCCTGGTTAGTAGCGTCGAGTGCTATTTGATTAGGCTGGGTCAATTTTGCCTGGTCGGTAGTTGTGGTTGGAACCCTCTTGTTGAGGGCATGAAGAACTTCCTCGAATTTCTTCATTCGAGCCATGAGTTGATGGTTAATGTTCTGCATTGTTTCTAAGATGGCATCTGTGCTAGACCTGCGTCTTGACCTTGAGGAACGGGATCTGCCACTGGTGGCTCTAGCGCTGGTAGCCCCAATTGCAGATACGTCTGCTTATGTCAGTGGGGGTTGGATCTCTTCTGGATACATCTTCTTGCTAGGATAATCCCCAGCAGAGTCGTCAAAATGTAGATACTGGGTCCTAGGACATCGTTGAAAAGTCTATGAGTCTAGGGTATATCGCTCAAGACAATGCGAGGAAAGCAGAAGAGCTACGAAAGGGAGAGAAAGCTAGCCCCAGAAGCAAGGATTGGAGTGATGGTAGGAGAGATAATGCCAGGAGTCGATGGTCTGAGCTGTAACCTTTTTCCATTCATTCTTTTTATAGCTTAAGGTCACTGAAGAGGGATTTATTAGCACTTATTGGGCCTCCTTCTAAATAGGGTAGGGCTCACGTAATCATTAAGATCACGTTACCCTAATTCCTATTCTTCAGGACCCACTTAATAAGTGTAGCGTTCCCCTTAAATGACCCAGGTAGGATCAGGCCTAACGGTAGCGATACTTACTCTGGCTATCTCTCACTCTGATCCTCAATTCGGGTCTTACTTTGTAAGACTTGACTAACTTTCTATCCTCTATTCCAAAGTCCCTTCTATATTCTCCTTGATAATGAAGTAAGTCCTACCATTTACTCTTCGTTTTAGTTAAGTTGGACAATTTTAGGCCCGTCGATCGATAATTTGTGATCGGGTCAGATCGAGGTTCTAAGGCTGTCGATCGATGACTGGTGGTTAGGTCGGATCAAGGTTCTAGGCCCATCGATTGACGATATGTGGTTAGGTCGGATCAAGGTTCTAGGCCTGTCGATCGACGATATGTGGTCGGGTCGGATCGGGGTTCTAGGCCCGTCAATCGACAATATGTGATTAGGTCGGATCAAGGTTCTAGGCCCGTCGATCGACGATATATGGTCGGGTCGGATCGAGGTTCTAGGCCTGTCGATCAACTATACATGCTTGGGTCGGATCGAGGTTTTAGGCTTGTCAATCGACGATACGTGCTTGGGTCGGATCGAGGTTCTAGGCCCATCGATCGATGATTCATGCCTTGGTCGGATCTAGGTTCTGGGTCCTTCGATCGACGATTCATGGTTGGGTCGGATCGAGGTTCTGGGTCCTTCGATCGACGATTCATGGTTGGGTCGGATCGAGGTTCTGGGCCCGTTGATTGACGATTCATGCCTTGGTCGGATCTAGGTTCTGGGTCATTTGATCGACGATTTATGGTTGGGTCGCTATACTCCTCGCTCTATCCTTTGAATTTATTATGATTTTGTCTTTCCTGCTTTGGAGTAATGATATCGTGGGGGCCACCTAGATTTTCACTAGGTAACGTGGCTTTACTATATCCACAACGACAAAGCTCCAAGCTACCGACAACAAAGCTTAGCGACTTCATCGGCGAGCATCAAAGAAGACCCATTTCCAGCAAATTTTGTTTTATGAAGTCACGCCATTAAAGAGCAGAAACCTAGAAGCGTCCACTTCATGAACTCCAGTAGAGAACTCTAAATTAACAACAACCCAACCCAGTAGCCATTCAAGTTCCGGTGAACTAACACAAAGGTGACATCGGTGACCAAAAGTTCCATCGACCCAATTGCATACACCATCTCCAGTGATCGAACACAGAGCTTCAGAGAAGTGAGCTCCGACATACCCAAATGGCAAGCTACAACACCAAATAAATTGGCACATCGTCAGTTCGGTTCAACGGAAAGTTTCAGTGAGCTTCAAATGACCCACTTCTTTTGTTCTCTAAACGATCCAACTTATGAATGGTGAATTCCAGTTTCAGTCCTAGTTCCGATGATCTTCAAGCAGCATTTCAATTTTAACATAATTGAAGACCCAACATTGAAAGAGAGGTGAAAGTTTTAGAGAGAGAAAGAGGGGGAGGGGTGAAGAAGAAGAAAATCCATAAGGGTATTTTTGTAATTTTAATAAAATAAATTTTAGTTTTTAATTTAATTTTAAATCGTTAGGTCAAATTTGTCATTTTGTAGTCCGGCTAACTGGCCGGACATGAATATTGGGGACAATTTGATCACTTTTTAAAGTGTCGGGGGTTTTCAAAAATAGGTTGGGGGTTTATGATCAAAATTTGAAAGTAGTGGGTGTTTTATGGAATTAACCCAAAATTTTATTACAAATATCCCAAGTATTTTTTTTTTTTTTTTAAAATAAGATTACTGGAGCATATAATTAGATTGCCTACTTCTCTACGATGGTTTGTTGCATAAATATTGTATTTTTGGAAGCCTTGTTTCATGAGCTCTATGTGCATATATTATTTTCAATTTTTGTATGTACGATTTATGAGAAATGAATTTTTGAATTTCGGATGAATTAGGATTACAATAAAATAATAATAAGGGATTTTGAACCAAATATCTACTCTTTTACTCCCCTCGGATAATTGGAGGGGTTTTTTTTTTGTAAAAAAATTAGTCAAGGGGAGTTTAATGGAAAACGTCCATAGTTGAGGGGGGTTTATTATAATTTGCCAAAGTAAAATATTAAATTAAAAAACTACGCCAAACTAAACCTTATCGAAATATAAGTCTAAAAAAAATAAAATAAAAATTTATTAATGTTATACAAACCGAGTTGACATAACTGTATAATAGTAGTATTTATTAGCAAATCAAAGTTGAAGGTTGTGGGTTAAAACTCCCGCTAGGATAAGTGGGTGTGAAAATATAGTTCTTGCCAATAGAGAGAGAGAAAAAAAAAAAAAACAAACTCCTCTAAGGAATTCTTTGCACGCTTTACCCGATAGACTAGACCTCAACCTCGGCCTAAATCTTTGCCAAATATATATATATATATATTTACTTTTAAAAAAATATAATATTTGGGAGAAAAATATTTTAAGACAAAACGGAATGTAATAAAATGGCATGTTTTGAATGGGAGAATGGGCTTGTTTAGAATGCAAGTTTACTCTTATGTTTTGGGCTGGCCTATCTGGCCGATCTGGGTTGTTTTACGATATATATATATATATATATATATATATATATATATATATATATTTACTTTGAAAAAAATATAATATTTGGGAGAAAAATATTTTAAGACAAAACGGAATGCAATAAAATGGCATGTTTTGAATGGGAGAATGGGCTTGTTTAGAATGCAAGTTTACTCTTATGTTTTGGGCTGGCCTATCTGGGTTGTTTTACTAGGCTTTTAGTATAATCTGTATATAAACACACACACCTCAATTAGTAAAAAGAGTATCGATTTGTCAGTAGACGTTCAACGCCATGGCCACCGACTTCAAATCAATTCCTTTAATTGGTAAGCATTAAACCCTAATTTATGTTTTTTTTTTTCCCACAATTTTCTTTTTATCAATTTTTTTCAACTGCAAAATCATGTTATTGACAGAAATTAACCTCTTGAAATCTACTGTTTGATTGCAGAGAAAACCCAGGAAAAGTCAATAAAATGAAACTATCTAAATTTTATATTTTATACGATGATGTTTAGAAAAAGAAATTACTGAAGCGAGGCCAAATAGAAAAAGTGTTTTCTTTTTTGCATTTTGGATCCCAATTAATGAATCATTTAAGATCCTAGTTTCCTTTTTTTTTTTCCTACATTTTCTTTGAATCCAAACAAGCTGTATTGGGCGAATCATGCTTGAAGAGCCTCTTTCGTTGAGTCAATCAATAACACAAAAAAAAAGTATACAAAAGTTTGCTATTAACTGGCCAAAGCTGCATAGGAAAATATTTTACGTTTAGAAATTGCTTTTCAATGCAAAGATTGACATTTTGTCAAGCTAAGTTTGTTTTTGTGTGTGTGTGTGTGTCTGTTTGTTTATTATTTTTTTTTGGCAAATAACATACACACCCATTTTGTCTCTTTGGGAAATTGAACCTCAATTTTTAAGTTTGGGAGGTAGAAGAGCTGAGGCCAAGTTCTTGAATGTACTGAATTTTTGTTATTGTTTTCCAATTATTATGAGGCAGATATTGGTCCTCTCGTGGTCAAGTGGGATGATCCAAACATGGCTGAAGATAAAGACGTGGCAGAAGTTGTCAGACAGTTGGATCAGGCCTGTAGAGAAGCTGGATTCTTTTACGTGGTAAGTTTCAATACATGACTTTATGTACATGTGTGTGTGTTTATATATATACTAAGGCAATTCTCTGAAATAGACGTTTTTCCGCATATTCTGTTGCATTTTCAAGTGTCTTTTCTCACATATGAGCATTCATCAATGAGTAGTGGCTCTCACCTGTTAGATCTTATGATAGAAAGTACTAGTGAAGTAACTTTAGCATATTTGGAAAAGGTCAGTATTATCTTATATTTCCAGCACAAAGTTTACCATCAACTTGTTTTTATTCTCCTAAAGTGGAAGCAAATGTTTCCTGCTCCTGGCAGTTTTGGTTAGTTTGCAGTTTTGGAGTTGAAAATCTTTGTGTATTCTTGTTTAGAGATTTTTTCTTCATACTTTATCTGGCAACTGAGAACACAGAGTAAAAGAATAGGAACTTCTATGATCTTACAAATATTTCGTTAGATTGGTGTTGAGAGATCCTGGAAGTTGGACTCTTGAGAATTACATTCCCCAAAAAAGAAGGTGTTGAAAGATCCCAAATTCCTTACGTTTTTCCTGTTTTCTTAAACAAGATTTTAAATTAGGTGGCATTACTTGATATAGCAGTGAAAGCTCAATCTTCCAAGCATTGCAATGCAGGTTTAAGTCCAAGGACAGTCACTTTATTGAAATAACGTTAAAGCTGAGGTCTGTACCCAATCCATCCCTCCCAATACACTTGATTAATTGGGACAACACTGGGTAATGTCCCTTTTAAAACCTTTATGAAAAAAACACAAAGGGAGAGAAGAAAAAACATTGATTAAACCACACATATGGTCCTTTTTTGTTTTTGTTTTTCCCGTACAGGCATACCAGTTTTATGCATATTCTAGGTTCTATGATTCCCTGTTTGTGAAAGAAGCCATTTTGATCTCTATTAGATGGCATATAACTGATACTGGAGAGGGATGATATAATATAACCTTAGATTTATTTCAGTATTTCATAATTTATGCATCTTTTATGGAGATCCACTGATAGTAATTCAAAGTTCATCATGGTTAAGTATATTTTTTTTTCCTGGATGGAATAATCATTCTTTATGTAAAAGAAAGATAAACTGTTACGGGATTTTAGTCATTACCTTCTCTAGATAAAGCCTTTACACCCATACACATCAAGAAAAGAGAAAAAAAAAAGGTGCAAAGAAATGAAGTTTTGCTTTTTGTTTTAACTTGTAATGAACTTACTTTAATGTGCTGATGTTTTGTAACTTGAACAGAAGGGCCATGGTATTCCTGAATCTCTCCTCAAAGAGGTTCGGAATGTGACACACAGATTTTTCAACCTATCTTATGAAGAAAAAATCAAGATTAAAATGTCTGCAGCAACTGGATACAGGTTTGCATCCCGGAATAACATGCTGCTTGTATACTTCGCCAATTAGAATTAATTTATGACCTATCACTAGAACTTATTCTACTTATTTTAACTGAGATATCATTTTATATGCAGAGGGTATCAGCATATCGGTGAAAACATAACCAAAGGAACACCTGATATGCATGAGGCCATTGATGTACGTTTGCTTAAATGCTTTGTAGTTTATTGGCATTTGTGTGGCTGCTATCGCAATTGCGCGGGTCTGTGAATGTGGGATTTATTAAGTAGTGGAGCTTTCCCAATAGTGTTCTAGAATGTTACAATATTGATGTGTCCCCCCGTGAGTTGAAATGTGAGCATGTATGGTAGTAAGTAGTAACGATCTTATTTCGTTAGTTTTTGGAATTTTAAAAATCAATTAATTACAATTCCTTGGTATACCCCCCTTCCTACCCCCCCCCAAAAAAAAAAAAAAAAATTGATATAGTAAAAATTGTGTTATGAAGGAAATTTTTTGGTGCAGTGCCTATGGGTTTATTTCATGAGTCCGTGTTGTTTGGTGCAGTTTTTCAAGTCTTCCATGATTATAACAAATGCAGGTAATATAAATGAGATTTTTTTGGTAGATACTACCAATGATAGTTAGTCGCTCATATCGTACATATACAGGGCACTAATTGTGTTCCTGTTGATGAACTAAGCAATGCTGCATGATTCCAACAGCTTCATTCAGGTTGATGTTATACAGCTTACATTAATGTAGATGCTGTTTTTTTGTTTGAACCTAGATGTTATTCAAGTCAATATAAAGTTATTTTCCTAAATTATCCTTGGAAAAAGGCTCATGCACTCACTTTAGTATTAGTAGTAGTAGTAATTTTTGTATCTATTATCCTAATCTTCTCTCTTTTTACTAATAAAAAAAAAGTAATAATAATCTTCTCCAGTTTTTTTTTTTTTTTTTTTTTTTTTGGGTAACAGTGCTATAGAGAAGTGGGAGGAGAGATGTATGGAGCTCTTGGGAAGCCTCTAGAAGGATCTAATGAATGGTATGTATAACAAAGAATTTTAAAATTTCAGTCAAAATTTTACTGAATGCAACAAATTGAGTATGAAGAAATATCTTTAATCTATTCCTCAGTTGAAACAAATTGAGTATGAAGACATATCCTTAATCTATTCCTAAGTTGCATCTCTCTCTCTCTCTCTCTCTATATATATATATATATATATATATATATATATATAAAGTTCATTGTTTACTTTTCACCAAGTTATTTTTATTTTATTTTTCGTTTAATCCCTAAATGTCAAATTGTTCTCATGTTCATTATGATTAATCTGGAATTATTACTATTCTTCAAACCTTGATTAGTGAACTATCATCTTTGTGTATTGGTATGTATGGGCTAATCTGTTAATCTGGAATTATCACTATCCTTCTAACCTCGATTAGTGAACTATCATCTTTGTGTTATTGGTATGTATAGGCTAATCAGCCATTACATCTAAAATAAGATCTAGTTAGCTTTGCTGAGTAAGCCATGCTGTCACACACTCCTGATGGCTGATGCTCCTTCACGCAATAACGTCACGGAACACCTGATTCTCATTATACCAGCATTGAACATCTTTGAATAGATTTGATTGATTCTTCATATTTAAAAAAACCAGTCAACAAGAGCGTTTTTAATTTTTCATCATTTTTTTTCCCCTGTACTCATACTGTTTATCTTGGCATGTTTGTGGAAGTCCTCTAGTTATGTGGGTCATATGAGACAATGATAGCTATCTTGCTAATTTTTGGTGCCGCAGTGCAATTTATTGTTTCTTAGCATCTTGTTACCAATTCTGGTGTTTAACATTCAGTGTAGATATTTGATGCTAATTCTTCTCCTTTTTTCACCCTCCCTCCTCTCTTTTTTTGTTCAACTTAGTTAATAGATATCAAATGATTTATCTAATGAGGAAGAGTTTGTGGTTTTGCTTTTTGTACCTGGTTTATTCGTCAGGCCAACTGATCCGTCAAATTTCAAACAAGTGATGAAGGAGTATATCAGCCTCTGTACTGGTACTTTTCTTAGTGAGACTAATATATGTTGCTAATCAATTTTTTTGCGTACTGGTAAAATAATTTACAAATGTAGATTGCTAATATCAACAGATCTCTCAAGAAAAATAATGCGGGGAATTGCTTTAGCACTGGGTGGATCAGCAGATGAATTTGAGGGTGAAATAGCTGGAGATCCATTTTGGGTGTTTCGAATAATTGGTTATCCTGGTGTAGCCTGCACAAATGGCCAAGACATGCTAAAAAATGACATTGGATGGTAATTTAATAATGCTGATGTTGATGATTTGACCTTTTGTTCTTTTGTTTCACTGACTCTTATGTAAGTGATGTGTTTCTTTTCTTGTTTTTTGTCCATCTATTTATCCAACAAATTCAGTGGTGCTCACACTGACTACGGTAATTTCTAGCCTTTAGATGTGAAAGGCCTAGTTGAAGCTTTTTCATCAATTGTAAATTTGTAATACTCTTATGCTGTTGCATAACAGGTTTGCTGACACTAGTTAACCAGGATGATGATAAAACTGCACTTCAGGTATAGTAGGTTATTTTCTTGAGCTTCTGTTTTAAGCATCATCTGAATTCTAAATTTACAGCAGAAAACAATTTTTAACTGTTACTATTTGAAATTAACAAATTCTTGTATGCAATCCTGGATATAAGTGCTTTTGATTTGAAAGATTCATGAACTATACTAGATTGAGAAATTCCTTTCTTTCTTCTTCATTGTTTTTTTATTCCCACTCTTTCCCCCACTTCATTTTGGTTCAAGTGTCCTTTATTATATGTCTTCTAACTTCATGCTACAACTATGTTATCACCGGTTAATTGTTCATATTAATGTTCATTTGTGAGTTTTAAGTATGTAGACATTGTAGTTTATACCTAAGAAATGTGCGTGCTTGTTTCGGTTTTGGTTCTTCAACACTACCTGTTGTTGCTTCCACCAGTTCATTATTGTCTCCTTTTTGATATATTTCTCATCCTTTTGTGAGCTGCGCAGTGCGAAATGGATGTGGGAGTTCGATTTAAAAATAACCTAGAGGGGGGTGAATAGGTGGAACTAGCTCCTTTATCTGATTTTTGATTATTTCAATTTTCTTCCAAAATCAAAATTAAAAACACAAAGCAAGTAAATAAAGTAAAGTTTGAGAGTGACATCGGGAAAAAAACACGTCGTCTCGAGTGAGTACAACAAACTCTTGTCTCAGGCTCACACCCATTCCACTCTGCCAAGAACTAGTTGCAGAACTGCTCAGGCTTACACTTGCGACTCCTTGGCCAACTGCTCCACACTTCTGGCTTACTCCTCTTTCCTTGCAGAAGGGTTGCTTGAAGAACACAAATGCTCCGCGAACACTCTGTCCCCTTCACAGTGCGACTGAATCCTCCTTCCTTATGATCTTGAAGATAAAAGGAGAAAAATAAATCCTGCTTTTTAATCAACCAAGATAATCCAAAGAAGCTCTGTACGCTTTTGAGTTTTGATCAGATTGAGAACACCATCCTAAAATCACTCACATGCAATACAATGTGTCTGCAAGAAAGAAAAACACAAGAAGAATCAAAGTTGATTTTCTGTGAAGAACCATCTATGTATAGCTTTATTTAAGAGAGGAGAAGCATTTTTATAGAGGTTTGAGAGCCCTTATTTATGTTGAAAATTAGGTTGAAAACAAATAAGGACATCTCTAAGAAGTTTGGTGCAAAAAGGAAACCAAAAAGTTACCAAAACATGAAGTCCCGCACATATTAGTAAAAAGTGTGACGGGTCTGACTTTACAGAATTTTTCTCTGTGCACCAACTGAGACTATTGGACTTGTCATAAATAGTGTGATTCTGAGATTTCGATTTTTTCATTAAAAACATGATTTCGGTCCTAACCCACCAAACTTGAAATGTAAAGTGTCCTCACTCAACATACCTGTTCTATATGATGTTCTCATCGAATTGAAGTATGATTGCACATGGTTGCACTTGTAGTTCCGCTTCTGACATCGAGATTCAAAAGTAAAATAAAAATTACAACTCAATCGGGCACGTTTTGATACCGAAATTAGCCAATACAAAAACATGTATCTCACACCTTTCAGACCCATCACCATCAGTCGTAGGCAGTTTCTTGATTTGTACTTTCGCCAACACCTGATCTTTAACTTCTTCACATGATTAATTGAATTAGGGATTGGTTTGCCATGGAGCAGCTGTTATTTTCCTCGTCACTGCTATATCTTGAGATATGAATGATATTTTATTTTACTTATCAAAAAAAAAAAAAAAAAAATGAATGATATTTTATTTCATATAATTAATTGTCTTTGTTTTATCAATGCTTTGTTACGATCTAAAATGTTCTATTCTCTCTTTATTCATATTTAGGGAAATTCATTAGAGATTGTTGTATGGACACTGTTGTGATGGAACAATCTTTTCCCCTGAATTATTTTGTATGCCCTTTTCTCTTCTTCTTCTTCTTCTTCTTTTTTATTTTATTTATTTTTATCCATTTATTATTATTATTTTTTTGTAAGTGACGTGAAAGTTTCAAGATAAGTAACAGTTGCTTTATTAAGAATCAAGTCAAAGGTAATACGTTTTAAAAGCAAAGGGTGTTTAGGGTTCCATGCAGGCACCCATACTATGATTTGGTGTACATTTATTCCAGTTGGAGGATTCCTGATTGATTATTGCTGCCTTACTTTCCTCAACTTCTAATCTTATCAAGTTGTTGCAGGTGAGAAACAGGTCTGGTGAGTGGATACCAGCTGTTCCTATTCCTGGTACATTTGTTTGCAACATTGGTGACATGTTAAAGGTATGCAACTTTTTAAACCAAGTTCTCCAATTTCTGTTACCCTCTTAACATGAAAAAAAAAAAAAAAAAAATTCCTCTTGAAACCTGGAGAAACTGCAGATTTTGTCCAACGGTCTCTATGAATCAACTTTGCATCAAGTCACCAACAACTCCCCAAAATATCGGGTCTGTGTGGCCTACTTTTACGAGGTTAATTTCTTTCTTCGTTTATGCCCTGTCCTTGCTGTTCTCTTTAAAATTCTTCTTCTGAATGTTCTTTTTGTTCATTTCCTGTTCTGAACAGCCAAATTTTGATGCGGCAATACAGCCCTTGGACATGTGTATACAAAGGACTGGCGGAACTAAGAAGTACGAAGGAGCTGTTTATGGAAAACATCTAGTGAGCAAAGTCCAGACCAATTTTGTAATGTAGGAATTTGGATCTTGATGAGGGCGGGCCTTGGCGCAACGGTAATGTTGCTCCACTGGGATCTGAAGGGTCATGGGTATGAAACGGGAAATAGCCTCCCTACGTGCAGAGGAAAGGCTGCATACCCCAGATCCTGTAGTGGCGGGAGTCTTGTGCACTGAGCTAGCCCTTTTAGGAACTTGGATCTTGATCTTTAGACTTTCCTAATATGTTGTATGTTCAAGTTAATATCTAGGTTCTATAGATGAAGTTTATCCAGGAACTGGAAATTATCTATTAGTAGGATGTGTATTGAAAATTTTAATATTCCATTTAATTTGAATGAGTTATCACAAAGACTTCAGGTTCTCTTAATAGATTAATTTAACTAGGACCATAGCTTATTTAAATCATTATCACGTTCCTTCGCCATTTTCTTAGTTCCTTCATTTCGTTACTATTTGGATTTTTATCCAAGTTTTTTTTATCCCCTTCTCCTTTCCCGGAAGTTAAAGCAATTGTATTACTATAATGGTCATTACAGGGGACTACAACCGAAATTCAATTACATTGAATGTTCTTTAGCAACCCAGAAACCTGTGCTTCTTCGACTTTATTGAAGAGGATGGGCACTACTTTGGTATCCATCTACCACATTGGCTTCGGTGTATCAATCCGGTGGGTGTGGAGGAGGTCTTAGAGTGTTTGCCCCATTCTCCCATTCAATGAAGGTTGGTGAAGCTTTCATTCAAGATTGCAAAGCCCTAGATTGCAATTTCCCCTTGTTTGAGTTGATTATCTTGTTCATAAAAGCATTCTTGGAGGATGGTGTACCTCTGAAGAGCCTCGGGTTTCGCTCTTGCCACATGTGGTAAACTCATGTCGCTAGTGCTATCTTCGACACTGAATTCCTGAAGCATTAGGGTTGCCAGTGATGAGATGACCATGAAGTAAGGCTGCTCCATTCGGAAGGACTCACATAACATCTACAGTTCTGCTGTATAAATCTCCATATTGGGCTCGAGAATTGGCAATTAAACATCAGGTGGTCGTGGCTCTCTGGCTTAGTGGAGCATAGGAGGCAGTAATTAGGTTGGTTGTGGTGTGAGATACACAATCTCTGTCTAGGGTTGAAAGTCTTTTTCTGAATTGCGAGCCAGAGTATGATTCATACAAGATGAGACCACGATGCAGATGCGCTAGGTGGTGAAAGATACTGAATTGTGCTTTTTGAGGAGTACTTGCCAGTATTAGAAGCAGTCCATATGAGAGTGTCAAGATTAGAAGCATTGGGGGAAGGTATGTTGGCCAACTCTGGGAATGAGGTGAGAAGGCTATGAAGGAAGTTCCATATTGTTCCTGAGATGAAAGAGCTTGTGAGGGTATCAGGGGAAGGCTTGTGAGAGAGCAGCGGTCATCCTTCGGAAAAGTGGCCCACCTTGAAGCCAGGAATCATGCCAAAGGAAACATGATGAGCCATTGCCCACTTTAATCATCAGCAGGAGCCTTGCTATGGGTCTAAGTTGAAGGAGTTTCCTCTAGCACCAGGATGAGTTGTCTTAATGAGGTAACTCCTACGCCACTGCACCTAAATACTTGTTTTGATTGTGTAAATCCCATAAGTGCCTTAAAACTGCTGCCTTGTTGTATTGCTCAAGGTTAGGCAATCCAAGACCACCTTTAGATTTTGCAACCTTAGCTCGACTCTTATTTTCTGGGCCTGACCATAGGAATGATCTCAAAGTAGAATTTAGGTCATTTAACAATAGTTTCAAGTAAAACAAACAAGCATATCCAGTAGGTTAGAGGTAAGAGGCACTCCCAAGTGCTTAATTGGCTTGAGCCTAGTAGAGGTAAGAGGCACTCCCAAGTGCTTAATTGGCAGTGTACCTTTCCTAATGCCCAAGAATGTGCTTATAAAATAAGCTTTGAAGAGGGTGGGAGACCAGAAAAGTAGACTGTGCTTTTTGATAGGTTAAGACAAGCCTGAGATAGATGAGAACTGGTCCAGGGCTTGTTTGAACAATCTGAGCTCAGATGGGTAAGGCCAATATTTTTGCACCTCCAGTGAAATTTGAAGGAAGTTGAGGATGAAACAAGTGAGTTGATAATTGATGAGAAGACATCAATTGCTAGAACAAAAATGAATGGGGTGATGATGAAATCATGGCTTGCATTGATTGAGATAGAGAATGAAAGAGAGGTGATGTACTCTTTGATCTAATGAATGAAAATTGGAGGGAAACGAAAACGCTGAAGGGAGTCAAGCAAGAAGTTTCATCCAACGGTGAAATTGTAGGAGAGATGGTCCAATGCATATTATACTTCACAAGAGGTCTCAAGACTTGGTTGCAGTATAATTGTTCTATTTTTTATACACGGCCAGTCAAATTCAAATTCAAATTCAAAATTGGCGCTTCATCAAATCAACAAATATTAATTCAAAATGGAAATCATCAAGATTTTAGGAAGATTTTTATTTCTATTTTTCTTCCTGTATTTTGATTTTCAAATTGTTTTCTTTTTTCCCTCCTAATTCCTCCCTTCTAAACTCTATAAATAGGGACATGTGCAGGGAGGCATGGAGAGGTACATAGTTAGGGAAAAAAAGTGAGAGAGCGAAACAGAGAGCTTGCCTGGAGCAAGCTCAATACTTGTATATTTTTCTTATTCAATAAAATTAGTTATTTTTTCATTTATTATTTTCTTATTCTTATGTTAGTATAATTATCCTTCTGAAGGGAGTGATGAAGCTAGCATGGTTATAATTTAGATAAATACTATTTATTTCTTGTATAATAATTCCTCCGGGGAGTATTCTTTTATTAATCTCAATTAAAAAAAAAAAAAAAAAAACCTCACAATGAAGAATGTTGAAGGCTAGAAAAATAGAGGAATGATTCTTCGTGATTTCCAAATAATGTACAAATAGTGTAGTGAAAATACGGAGAATGCCTATCACTATTTACAATACATTTTACTAGAGAAATAAGTGAAGGATTCTTCATTTTATGCCAATTAATGGAAATACGGGGAATGACTGCCACTATTTATTCTCTCTAGTAAGCAAGAGGTAGTGAAAGAGGTTTTACAAGAATATCATTCATAAATATCCAAGTGTTTAATGATATAATTTCCTTCATCTTTTCAAGTTCTAATTGGACCGGTGAAGTGTTTATTTGTTTGATGGAAAATTTGTATAAGAAAAGTAACTATTTGTTTATATGAATGTATGGTGGTGAATTCTACTTCCTTCCAGTTTTTTTGTTCCCTTCAGTAATAGTTCTTTTTATTAATTTCATTGGTTAAAAATAAAAAAATTGTTTAAAAATATATATATTTTTTCATCTCATAAATTCTGATTTTGAATTCAAGTTCACAATTAAATCTCATCTTGAATGTGTGATTCGATCTGCTTATTACTATAAATTTTTAGTTAAGTATTTGCGAGTTTTTCTTTATTTTTGTACGAGAACCAACAAACAACTATGAAAAAATTCACACACGTCAATGGGCCAGGATTGTTGGACAAAATAGGCATGGAAGCCATCTAGATCTGGGTACTTATCTTTGTCCACTAATATGCAAGCCCATTTTTTCCCTAAAAGTTAAGCAAATTGTACTAAAAGTGACCATATTTACCGTGTGGGACCAAAAGACCTGCCTTTATCATCAATAGAGATTGCAATAAGTGATGGGAGAAGGTGGTGGGGAACTTGCTTGGTCTCAAAAGGTGTATACTCAATTCCAGGATAATAGTTAAAAGTGAGAGAATTTCACCCAAACAATTAAATTTCATGAATTTCACTTCCCAGTTTCGGGTAACCTACTTTGATATTTCATGAAGCTTTGTCAAACAATTAAATTGCTTTTACGACTTCAATTTTTTTTTTTTTGTTTGTACCCAAACGATGAATATCATATATATATATATATTCCCCAAGCAAACTTCTATTATTATTATTATTATTTTTTCTTTGGGTTTTTATTTAAAGCTATACTTTGGTCTTTCTTTCTGTATTTTTTTTTTTTCCTTTTCATTTTGTCCAATTTCTTTTTCCAATTAATAATGTGGTATGTCTGCATTGAGCATATGAATTCTATGCATGATATGCACCTGCAAATGAAGGTTTATTTTCTCACTTTATTTAGTAATTCTACTACAATTCTTCTGCATTGATACAAACAAAAATCTTACCATAAAAGATAGCAAACCAATTCTACTACAATACACACAAAAATGTTACCATAAAAGATAGCAAATAATTCTAGTACAATTCGACTGAATTGATGATACACACACAAATGAAACCATGAAAGATAGCACACTTAGCAGAGTTATTACTACTTGACAAATCATTTGATTAGCCATGCTTGATTAGAGCAGCATAAGATGGCGATGGAGCAATTGAAGGCGTTGGTGCTGGTGCGTCCTCAGACTCGGACATTTCCTGCGAAGTAGAATTAGCAATCTGACAAGGTACGTGATGATACCTCCTCTGTTCTGCTAAGCAGGGATTTCGCTGCTTCTTGAAGGCGTCACACTCCTGTTTGCTTCTTTGTGATGGAAGACCTGCAATGCAATTCATACTTACATCAAGCACCTTTTTCGTAATCAACTTCCTGCATTGAGGTCCAACCACTGTAAAGTAGTTGTTCTTCAAGGTAAGCTTGTACAAGTTCTTGAGCCTGCACACAATCTCTGGTATCTCCCCATACAACTGGTTATTTGCCAAGTTCAGCTGCTGCATCCTTGCCATGCAACCCAAAGAATATGGTATCCGGCCTGTCAACTTGTTGATGCTGGCATCGAAAATGGTTACTTTCTTCAACAGCCCAATCTCATACGGGAGGCAGCCGGACAACTGGTTGTTCAGAAACAACACCTCAATCAGTGTGGTGGCAGCATGTTTGATGGTTTTCGGGATTGGACCGGTAAATCGGTTGTTTGCTAAGGTGAGATAAAGTGCGGGAGTGCTGCCTATGCTTGCCGGTAGTCTTCCACTGAACTTGTTGTTGTTGAGGAAGAGAACGTCGAGGTCCTGTCTGAATACTTGAGGTGGCACCGAACCAGTGAGTTGATTGAACCTAACATCCATGAAGGTCAAGTTGGTAGCACCTAGAATCTCGTTTGGAAATGATCCGGTGAGCTTGTTGTTGCTGAAGTCGAGCTCGAAGAAATATGGGAGCAGGGCAACTCTGGCGGGTGTGGGGCCGGAGATGTTGTTGGAGTTTGCATGGAAGAAGACCAGGTCTTTGAGATCTTCAATGAAGTCTGTGACATTTAGTGGGTTGCCATTGAAGTTGAAACCGTTGAACTTGACTCCAGCAACTCGATTCCTGTCGGTTTTATTGATTTTGCCACAAATGAAGCCTTTGTATACAGTAGGGTCTGTGCAGATATTTCTGCCTCTCCAAGTCTTTGTAATGTTTAGTGGGTCGTAAGTTATTCTTTTCTTGAATCTTTGGATTGTGCGAATGTCCCTTAAGAGTTCAGGCGGAATGGGGGCTGGTGCAAGGCGAGGGCGTCGTTTAGGGGGACATCGGCAAACTGGCGGAGTTTTTGGTGGAGTGGGAGAAGGACGGCCCGGAGGTGGAGGGGGAAGGGGAGGAGCGCATGGGCAACCTGGTGGTGGTAGAGGTGGCGATTGGCCGCCTGCTTGTTGGGAGCAAGAATGGAAAACTAAAAAGATGAGAAGTAGAATTGCAGCTGAAAAAGAGAGGTTACCCATGTCTCTATCTCTCTCCCAAACTACAAGTGAAGTGATGATCCAGCCAGAGGAAGGAAGAGGTAGTATTATAGGGAACTCAAAAGCAAGTCACTGCCCACTCAAAAATGAAAAAAGACAAAAGTGAAAGTGATGCTACTGATTTATTGAGCATCTCCCTTCCATGCAAGAATCAATCTTTCACAATGGTGATGTCCAGTGCATGAACAACTTTTCCTTTAATTTTCTTTCTTTATGACCATTCTATTCACAAGGGGTCCTACAGGGTAAATCAATGCAATGCTGATGAGAAAAGAAGGTTCAACATGTGTTTCGCCTGGTAATGATTTGGTATAATTGTTCACTTTAGAATTTTTTCCACAACAATCAGTATTCATATACGTTTTTATCCCAAACCAACATGGATGACCTGCATTACACATCATTATATTGCGTCATAATGTACCTGCAGAGGTCTTATTACCTTTGTAATATGCTATTATTATTATTCTTTTTGGTTAGTTTAACTTGGGGTGTTTGGAGCTTTGCCCCCACTATTCGCTTAGGAGTCAGGAAGGACGCCTTCCTACCTCGGACCGGATAAGTCGCGGAGTATGGTCGCGGAAGCACAGCCCCAAAGAATTATTTGCATCCATTGGGAGTCGAATTTTAGACATGATGCTTCATGAGGTACCGGGGCCAAGTGATCTGGGGCTGGCTTTTGGGTGGGGTCTTGGTTCAAAAAAAAGATCTATGTATGCCATTGGCCAATCTATTGGGGTTAATATGTTCATTTTTTGTTTTGTTTTTCAGAAATGTTGTTTACAGTCATGAACTCCTCTGTCCAGGATGAGGTAGTGTACCTTCAAGAACCCCTTGGTCACTATATCAGTATTAGAGAATACTATATTTCGTGAAAAGAAAAAGAACAAAAGAGAGATAGTGACATTGCCTTTCTTCGAGAGGAAGGAATGGTGATAATTTGAGACAAGTTAACCTTTCAATATATATATATTCCTGACTTTGCCTATTAATTAAGATTTTTGAAAAGTTATCGTTGAATGCATTAATGATGAATGGGTAGTATAATAATCTGATGATAATTAAGAATAGAATGGCATCAACGTGTATAATGTGAATCTTTTTGCATTTAAATAAGTATGGTGTAAGAACCTTTTAAATCCTATGGATGATTCTAGTTTGTTTGAACATGAAACGCAGTTGCATTTTATATCGTAGATTAGGGTAAACATACGAGAGCACATATGTGATCTGTAATACATGTAGATTCTATGTATAATACACGTTCTGTTATGTTTATATTAATTATCAGCATATGAAGTGAAAGTGAATATATATACAAGAAATATGAACTGTGATTCGAAGTATACGTAAGGAGTATGTACGATTCTTTCTTGTGCAAAGGAATTGATTTATTGGGTATTATTCAGTGACTTAGTTGGTAGAGCGCTAAGTTTCTGAATGGGTGTGTCTATACTTGAGTTCTCCTTTCTTAATTTATCAAGATTAAAAAAAAAATGAAAAAAAAAAAAGAAGAAGAAATAATTGGTCTACTAAATTAGTGAAAATTTCTAAGTATGACTAAGTTCACGTCAACTCCTAGTAACTATCATGTGCATCAATTATATATCAATTGATCCGTCTTGTATAACTTATATAAGTAGGTTCAACGATGTTAGTGGTTAGAGGGAGGGGAGGGTGCAAGGTTTGAATGTGGGTTTTCAAACACGGGAAGTAATTTAATCATTCGACAACACAACACTTGTCTCGATAGTCTACTTTGAAACTTTGGAGTCTCCTGTGCTAAAATAAAATAATATTTTTAATTATTATTTACAAGTGATTTAGAATCAAAAAAAATTAGAACAAAATTATTGTTCATATTTCAAAAATTGTAGAAAATTACACAATATTTATTTTATCATAAGTAACCTAAATATGTTGAAATAGCTGGATTTAAATGAGGTTTAAGGGTGAAATTGATTAAAATTTGAAAAATGGTAAGAAGTTACGTTCTGAAAATTTACTGTAACCTATAATTATTGTTAAGGAAGCTAGAAAAATAACGTACTCTGGTTGTTTGAGTCTTGAGTGTCGTGAATATGTAAATTAAAGTATATAATAAGCAAGTTGAATAAGAATTATTAAAAGTTAAGGATGTTAAATATATCAGTCTAATTAGTAATTCTTGTAGTTTATTGGATTAGTTGGTGGGTCAGTCTGGGACTAACCCTATTGTATGTTGACCTTGTTAGGCATGGAAATTTAACCATGGTTAACGACCGACAAATTGGCATTGAACTGTGCCACGAAATCATTGAAAAACAAAAGACAAAAAACAGAATGGAAAATGAGTGGGCAACCAGTTCGTTACGACGTCGTATGGTAATCTGTGAAGCCCGACGACTTGTCGTTTTTTTGTTTGCTTATTATGATTGTGTTTGGAGTAAAACTACAATTAATTAAGAATTTTGACTATAAAAAATTAAGAATAGAATGGCATCAACCAGTATAATGTGAATCTTTTTGCATTTAAACAAGTATGGTGTAAGAACCTTTTAAGTCCTATCAATGATACTTGTTTGTTTGAACATGAAACGCAGTCGCATTTTATATCATAGATTAGGGTAAACATACGAGAGTACATATTTGATCTGTAATATATGTAGATTCTACGTATAATAAACATTCTGATATGTTTATATTAATTATCAGTATATGAACTGAAAGTGAATATATATACAAGGAATATGAATTGTGATTCAAAGTATACGCAATGAAATGAGTATCTACGATCCTTTCTTGCGTAAAGGAATTGATTTATTTGGTATTATTCAGTAATCTAGTTAATAGAGCGCTCAGTTTTTGAGCGAGTGTACCCATGTTCAAGTTCCTTTCTCTAATTTACCAAGATAAAAAGAAAAAAAGAATTGGTATACTAAATTAGTGAAAGTTTCAAGTATGATGAATAAATTCACATCAACTCCTGGTAACTATAATGTGCATCAATCATATATTAATTGATCCGCTTGTATAATTTATATAAGTAGGTTCAGCGATCTTAGTGGTTAGAGGAGAGAGTGCAATGTTTGAGCATGGGTTTTCAAACACCGAAAACATCCCAATCATTTAGACAATACGGCACTTACCTCGACATTTTACTTTGTAACCGTTGGGGGTTGAGAGTCTCTGATTGGGTCTTGATTGCATGTTAGTATTGATTAATTCCATAATTAGTTTGATTAACCCAAGATTAAGGGTTTAAGTGGGTTTAGCTTGAAGAGGGAAAGTTTTAAGATAAAAAAAAGAAAAGGAGACGTGTGCTGAATAAAATAGTATTTTTAATTATTATTTATAAGTGATTTAAAATCAAGAAAAATTAGAACATATATAATTATTGTTCATATTTCAAAAATTGTAGAAAATTATAGAATATTTATTTTATCATAAGTAACCTAAATATGTTGAAATAGCTGGATTTAGATGACGTTTAAGGGTGAAATGGATTAAAATATGAAAAAATAGTATTTTAGTGCACTTAATCGGAAATGGTAAGAAGTTAGGTTCTGAAAACTTACGGTAACCTATAATTATTGTTAAAGAAGCTAGAAAAATAAGTAAAGTCGTTGGTCGAGTCTTGAGAGTCGCAAAAAATTAGAACATATATAATTATTGTTCATATTTCAAAAATTGTAGAAAAATACAGAATATTTATTTTATCATAAGTAACCTAAATATGTTGAAATAGCTGGATTTAGATGACGTTTAAGGGTGAAATTGATTAAAATATGAAAAAATAGTATTTTAGTGCACTTAATTGGAAATGGTAAGAAGTTAGGTTCTGAAAACTTATGGTAACCTATAATTATTGTTAATGAAGCTAGAAAAATAAGTAAACTAGAATTATTTAACTAGCCAACCGTATGTTGACCTTGTTAGGCATGGTCGAGAATCTACATATGGTAGCATTACTTTTTTTATTGTGGCCATTGAACTGTGTTTGTTTTTATTATATAGACGTGGTTCGACCATTTGATTGAGTAAATGTACAGCTAACCACATGTGCATTTTCAATAATTTGAAATTATGTGATTCACACCATTTTATTGGTGTTTTGGAGTGGTTGATCATATACTCATGCCTAAGAGCGAACCACTTGTTCATGGGAGTCCATAATTCATATGAGATTAGTGAATTTTAGTAAATGTTACAGTGAGTTAACTAACTTACGGTGGTAATCTTTGCTTCAATATCTAAATTATTTTCTTCATTATCCTATATATTATTCAATTAACATATTATTTACTGCATTTGAACCACTTATCTGAGTTATCTCTACACATATACGTATATAATACATTAATAATAAAAAATTCACAATATTGCCTTCTATGCCCTGTAAAAAAAATTCATCTTCCCTGATGGATAACCGAAATCCAATCTAATTTAAAGTCAAGATCAATTATTTAAGAACTTAATACTAACCATGCCAGATATTTACAAGGTAATACCTGACTAGATATTATTTTATGAGATTCTATAAAACTTTATATGTAACTAGAGATTCTATAATATTCTAAAATTCTAAAATTTTCTTCCAACATCAAAGACTTGGTCATTTTGCTACACTGTACACAAAATAATATTGTTTCTTTGGCACTCTTAAGAAGACCTAAATGGTAATTGAGTCTTCCGTTTGAGAAAATTATGTTGGTGACAGTAACCTTTACTTCAAAATTTAAATTATTTTCTTTATTATCTTATTATCCAATTAGTTGTCATCATTCGACTTATCGACGCGCGTATAATACACTAATTATAAAGTAAAGATATTACGTCAGAGATTCTATCATATTTGTAAAATTTCAGTCAAACCTCTTACTTTTTTGACACATATCAGTCTTCCCCCCTTCTGGTCAGACACGTTTTTTATTGACATCAACAAAAAAATAAATTATAATGCCCAGATTACCCTCCAACAGACATGTTTGGCTACATATTATATTCCAAGATTGAATTTATCAATTTCCCTCTTCATTACCTAAGTG